CACAAGACGAGCTGACACAGGAAAAGCAGGAAGTGAACACATGGAAGTGGCAAAATAAACTGAACATGAACAAAACTGAAAACACTGGGTCACCGACTCAGGAACCCTGACAGCTTCAGTCCTGCTAGGCTCTGCTTAGTGTGGGCAGCCCACACTATGAGCTCCTGCCATGTGACTGACTCCCCTCTGCCCTCTACCTAATGTTGAACTAATAATTACTAAATAATTTACAGCAGATACAGAAGCATTTAACCTGCTTGTGTGTTTTGTGTATGTCTCTCTCAGCGAGTACCTTTTCATGTCATTATTCATGGAAAGGTACATCTCAGCTGTGTGGTCGAGGTCTACAGCCGAAGAATCAGAGACATAAAGAAAGAGGTTGATAGATGAGACAGTACAAACCTTTATTAACCTGCTGCTGTGAAACAGTTTGACTGAACCAGTTTATCTGGATGTGACGAGATTATCAAACCTGTCATATTAAAAATACAACAACAACCATTCTAACAATTCTTTTTTAAATTTTCAAACGTAGTGACATAAATGCACACAGGTAACAAAGCAAGCGAAAGGTTCTGAGCCACTCGTGCACCCATAGCTCGTCCTCCACTATCCACGGCTTCTCCAGGTCTCTGGAGCGATGAAACACAAACATAAACAAAGAATATTTGCTGTTTTGATGATGACGCTTAGAGCACTATCTAACACACTGGCCTAAAATCTCCCACAGGTGTTGAGATGTGGTGACTTTAAAGGCCACAGCCATGATTTCCATCATTTGATCCTCATTAGACGGTTCAATGAGCCCTCTTGTCCTCTTGTCCTATGGATAGAAATGTTTCATCAAAGGATCATTTGCACAGACTCTTTCAACTAAGTGGCCCTAAATCCAGCGAGTCAAGACTGTATGATTTTCTTGGAGTGCACCACACGGTGGAATATCCTGCATACCGTCTCAGCCCTGCTTATAGTTAGCACAGGACCAGTAAAGTATAGTAGTGGTAAGTATTACCCTGTATTGCACTGTTAGAGCCCTTTTTCTGATTTCCGGAGAGAAATCCTGTTGAATTTCCTTCCCCAGTCTTTAAACACTTGGGATTTCGGTCAATGAACCAATTTATAGTTGTATCCGAGTCCATTTTTAAGCTTGTGTTTCACCATACGGTCAACATGCAATCACAGCGAATGTTTAGGTCGAGTATTTATTTCTAACAGGACCTTTTCAAACTTCTTACCAACACGTCAGCAGAAATTGGTGTAATTGTATTTGTAATTTCTGCTTTCAGTTTGAAATTGTGAGTATTAGCTGCAGATTTTTTAAAGGGGTAAAAACAATAACCACTCTATATCATGTCTATAACTGACAGTGTGTATTTTGCTGCTCTCCAAAGAGTATGAGGGAACACCTTTAGGCTTAAGGTGAAAAGATTGGAGCCCAAATAAAACCCAAATTCAAAAGCCCGAATAATACAATTGTGCATCGTTTGGTATATATAAACATGTTCATCTCTTGCCTCTCACAGTTCGCTGACGGATGAACAAAATCCCCAGAAAAGCTTGGTCTAAAGAGACGTCTTTTTGCTGGAAAGAACAAACATTAGCATTGCATTGTCTTTTTCTGTAAGATATGCAGACATTTTTTCCAGCAAGCTAATGAATTTTCATGTTTGGCCCAAGTTGTTAGCATTTTATTATGAACAACAGAGTTCACTTCTTTCTCAATGATGGCCTGATTCACTGAGGCCACAGGGGCCAACAAATGAAAGACTCCTCATATGCTTCACAGTGGAACACATCGCAAAATAATGACAACTCTGATGACAGAGAACAGGCTGTGTATTGACTGAATACAAAGGCCACTAAGTGATCCATAAGCAGCTGTTGTCATTGTCTCATTGTCCCAATATGCTGATTCCAGAGGACAGAGGAATGTGTGTGTGTGTTTGTGTGTGTGTGTGTGTGTGTGTGTGCGTGCGTGCGTGCGCTGTGTTTTCAAAACCTTATTCAGTGTATTTAGCATACTGTTGATTTTCACCCTTACATATGTCAGCGTCCACATATAAACATTATATATGCATCCTCAAACATGCATTTTTTGCGATGCAAAAAGCAGATAGCGAGAGAATCACTTGCTTCATTCAGGTCCTTGGCTGCGACTCTGGCAACGGCATGATGAAGCTTACTTGACTTCTCTGCAATGTCAGTCATGCACATTTTAAACAGCCAGGGAATAATGTTGGCTTTATGTGTGCGTACCAGCACCAAATGCAAATAAGATCTCAAACAAACACGGGTCTTTGCTGCTTTGTCCTCGGTGAACACATAACTCAATATTGTTTTATGCAACTTATATTCTGGACGGTAAAATGAGTACTAGCTGCAATATTTGTTCATTTCTTAAAAGTATCAATAATAAGTTTGTCAAAGGATTAAAGAAAAATACTAGTTCATTTGAACCTGTGCTATTGCATTAATCTTTCTGATTCCAAGTCAGACACGAAGTTGCTAATTAGTGTATCATCTCCTGTAACGTTAGCGGTTTTATAACATTTTGATATTCCTGTAGTAGCAAATATTCATCCATCCAAGAAGAGATGCCCTGAATTCCTTTCTGGAAGAATTCCAGCTCTGCTGGCTCGTTCTGAAGCAGAGCAGCAGCAGATCTGCTCTGAGCTCCTCACCTTATCCCAAAGGGTAAACCCAGACACTCTTTAAAAGAAGCCCATTTTCTGATCCCTACTCACAGCTTGGCGAGGGTAGCAGTGTAGATAACACTACATCAGCAGCCTTGTGATTTAGCTCCCTCTCTCAACAGTCCTATACAGCGTCCACATTACTGGAAATACTGCACCAATCTCTATACTATACTGCAATACTATACTGCTATGGTAGCCAACGTTTCAAATGCAGGTTTGACAGGTTTGTGAGTGTACACTTTATCCAAAACCTAGTGAGGGTTTACTCAACGTTGCCAGTGGATGGCTGTAGCTCAGCAGGTAGAGCAGGTCACCGACTGATCGGAAGGTTAGTGGTTTGATCCCTAGCTCCTCCAGTCTGCATGTCGAGAGTGAATGTATATGAATGTAGTTAGCAGAAAGTGTGTGATTGGGTGAATGTGGTATGTTGTATAGAGCACTTTGAGTAATCTGGGAGAGTAGAAAAGCGCTATATAAGAATCAGTCCATTCACTGTCTGAACAGAGTTTAGTCACATGTTGTTATTACATGGCTTGATTAAGGTACACATTAGGCTGACATCTGGGGCCAGAGCTGAAACTGTTCTGGGCCAGCACAGGGCCAGCAGTGTGTCTGCAACTGGCCTTGTGCTGGCCCATGTGTGGGCCAGATCTGGGCCACCAAAAGGCAGTCATTCTTTGCGGTGTGTGGGCCATGTGTAAGCACATTGTGTGGGCCAGATCCGGGCCATACCAATATTGCTATGTGGGAAGAGACTGAGATTACCAAACCTAACAGCCTACATGTCTTGGATGTACCTTTACTGCTAAATACTATGAAGTGAATTTGAAACGTCTTTATGTTGTCATCCAAGCTTCTATGTTTGGTGCAGATTTCAGTTTGACAGATTCCACTGCACACTTTAGCTAACAAACTAGCTGATACAGAGTGGCACAAAAGGAAAGGTGATGATGAAAGCAGACAATATAAAAAACATGAAGAAAAGATAAAACGTCTGCAAGAAAAGCTTGAGAAACAGGTTGTTGTGAGCTAGCAGCAAGGCAGCCTAATTGTGGCACTGTAACAGTACTGGAATGGTGCCGTGGGTAAGGAAACTGACTTGACTGGTTAAGGCCTTCATGTGGGTCACATCGTACACACAAAGCATCTGTGATTTAGTAGTTACCACTAGCTGTCTGTAAAGCATTACCAGCAAAAGATCCAATTTATGCATTTATTATTTCCTTGGCTGTAGTAATCCTTTGATACTAGAGAGAAAAACCACAACAACAAAATGGTCAACTCTTAGGCTGTGTGTGTGTGTGTGTGTGTGTGTGTGTGTGTGTGTGTGTGTGTGTGTGT